CTTTGGACGTCATTTAAAATCTGAAACCTTTCAGTTTTTTTTTTTTTTTTTTTTTTTTTTTAGTGATATAATATTTTTCTTTTGTGATAAATTTTTGTTTTGCTTCCCTCCATCATTTAAAGAACCTGCTAATTATTTTCCTCTTAATGACTTTTAAAAATAAATGACTCTAATCCTCATTAAAGATGAGATATTCGTTTATTTATCTTTGACCGAAGTTTGCCCTTGTCTGCGCTTTCAAGGCCCACCTCATTTGAAAACAGTGGGACGAATTTATGGAGTCCTTAGTGAGTATATTCGACTACTATCAGGTTGCCAAAAATTAAGTGCTAAACATTCAACGTGCGAATAGCATTAAAGGCTGAAGTTTATTTTGATATCTGCGGAAAATATGATAATCATGATATGACCGACGATCTATCTCTAGCTCGACTCAGTGACCCGATGAAAAGTGATCCGCGTTCTGATGACCCCGCTACCTATCACCACAGCTTTTTTAATCAGAAAGATTTACGACGACTGCTTTTCTCAGTGTACTTTATGTGCTTGGTGTTAAATGATAGCCCTGGGGAAGATGTCTGGGTATCTCCGATCAGATATCACAAGGAGCACACAAGATTTTGAACACGTCTCCTTCATAAGTGGAATGACTGACGAGAAAGGTTCCAGTTTCTTCCTAACAAATGGAATAGAAATTGAAATTGAAAATTGAACTATTTGAAATGAGATATTTGTTTCTAATCGTACGTAAGACGAAACAATTGTCTCTAATCATACGTAATTCAAAGGCTGTTGCCACCTTTTTTCAGACGATTTTGCTTTGCCATAAAAAAATCCTCTGCTCAGAAATTTTTGTTTGACTGAAGATATCGCCAAGTTTGCAACAGTTTTGGCGACTAACTTTTGTAGACAAATTTGCCGATAAATCGCCAAAAAAAGCCAAACTTAGCAACCATTCAAAGACATTTCGGTCGAGTCCCTGTATCACCGTAATTGGTATCATAATTGAAGAACTGGCATTGATTTCATATGTAACTGTAAATGTAATTCGGCCCTCAATTGTCTTTCAGTAATTTCGAGAAGTACTAAAAATATCTCTGCGGCCGGGTGAAAAAATATAAAAAACCCCAGTCATTATAATTATTATTATTTACGTGTTCCGCATATAAGGCACTACACGGAAGGGAGGAATGCCTTCGTGGAGAACTTTCTAAGGGAAATTGGCTCGGATTAGCACGTTATACACGGGCAAAGCACGAAAGCCAGCCCGTTCGAGGGATTCGAACTTCGGATCGAACTACCAGTATTCAGGAGCTTTACCGCTCGGCCACTAGTGGGCCTCCACTATCCTAGTTGGGAATCTTATTTAAAAAATCTCGGTTTACACTTTATTGATCTCAATCTCACAATGGTAAGACAATAAAAAGTCGGGCATTTCATTTAGACATGAATTTTTATTTTTGACAAAACAAAATTTCTTTAATCAGGATCAAACTTTGTAGAGACATTAGATATTTCGTTTTTTTTTTTTTTTTTTTTTTTTTTTTTTTTTTTTTTCGCAGAAAAAATGAAAAATTAGCAACCGCCTTCGCCGGGAATCGAACCACGGACCTCTGGAATACCGGCCCAGCGTGCAGAACCACTACGCTACGAAGGCACGCTAGGAAAGCAGGAGAGATAATTTACAGTGGTGGCCAAAATTGTGGACACTTTTGGAAATTTTTAAGTTTTTGAACTTTGTATGCTTATAGAAAATGTTACGTTTCGCAAAATGCAAACTTGTATATATCATTTTAAAGATAATTTATTACTGAATTCAATACAAAACACAAAATTCAATTATTTGCAATACCGAAAAGTTATATTTACTTTAATATAAATAAAAAAAACACAGTTATGAAGTGTTTTGTAATGTCTAGCTTTCCTGGCCAATCACTGTTCTTGTTCTGAGAGCCAATCGAATGTTAGTAACTGCCAGTAGAAGCTGACATCATGTTTACACTTGAAACAATTCATTATTTTGCTTTGTTCTGTAGAAGGAGGACCTGTTTCTTATACACTGCTATTACAAGTAGGAATTTTTGTAAAAACTTTTAATATTTAGTCAAGAAGCAATGACGTCAAATAAAAGAGTAGATTGGACACCTAGAAAGAGATGTAATATTATTGTGTTACGAGAAAGTGGTCTTTCCTATGCTGAAATTGCAAGACAGGTGTGTGGTTCAGTGACTACATCTGGAGTCCGAAAGTTTTGTTTACGATATCAGAAGACAAATTCAATAAAAAACAAAGAAGGAAAAGGCCGAAAAAGGTGCACCACATCTATTGATGATAGAAGAATAAAAAGAGTATGTCTCCAAGATAGAAAAATGTCGTCAGCGGCCATCAGAAGTGATCTGAATGATGCTGCTGTTTCTGTCAGTTCAAGAACAATCAGGAGAAGATTAACAGATGTTAGACTGAGAGGTAGAATTCCACGAAAAAAGCCTTGTCTTAATTTTCAGCAACGAAAAAAAAAAGACTACAGTGGGCAAAAGAACACATTAATTGGACAGATGATCAGTGGTCACAAGTTATATGGAGTGATGAAACTAAGATATCATTATTCGGTAGTGATGGGCGAAAATATGTAAGACGTAGAATAGGAGAAGAGCTACATTCCGACTGCATTCAAGCAACTGTGAAGAACCCAGTTAGTGTTATGATTTGGTCATGCATGTCAGCAGATGGTATTGGTCGCCTTCATGTTATCGATGGGACACTGAACGCCAGAAAATACATTGACACTATTCTAGAACCAAAACTTCTACCTTCCATCAGAGATCTCTTTCCCAACAATGCTTCATTTATTTTTCAGCAGGATTCTGCTCCTTGCCACACGGCCAAAATATCGAAAGAGGGGTTTCGTACAAAGAGCAGTAAATTGTTGTCATGGCCAGGAGACAGTCCTGACCTCAATTCTGTTGAAAATTTATGGCACCGTTTGAAAACTCTTGTCCGAATGAGGCGCCCATCAAATAAAAGGGAACTAATTGAGGCTATAATTGTTTCCTGGCATCATGTAATAACGAAAGAAGAGCTTAAAACTCTTGTCAGCTCAATGAAACGTCGATGTGAAGCTGTAATCAAAAATAAAGGGTACCATACTAAGTACTGATAACTCACTGCAATCATCACTATCTAATGTATATCGATAACTATTATCGTTTAACTTTTTTTGTATTGCAAATAATTGAATTTTGTGTTTTGTATTGAATTCAGTAATAAACTCTCTTTAAAATGATATATACAAGTTTGCATTTTGTGAAACTTAACGTTTTCTATAAGCATACAAAGTTCAAAAACATAAAAATTTCCAAAAGTGTCCACAATTTTGGCCACCTCTATATACTCTCCCTCTTAAACGGCAACCGGTGTTTTTATGGGACCCAATCGCCAAATCCTGGGTGTGGAGAGTCAGGTGACAGGTGACGGAGGACGGGGGCGCCTGGTGTCTAACATAGGTAAACAGGCATATACCCCGCGTCCTCCACTGTGTAGAGGCAACAACTCCCTGGAGCCCCATGAGGCCGCCCCGGGAGTTTATTAGGATCTCAAAAGTTAACATGGCCATACAAGGGCTAGACTACATGTAGTACATTGTAAGAACGTGAGACAACTGAAGGTTATGGTTACAGAGGTAGAACAAAATAAGACATAAACATAAAACATAAATGGAAACATATAAAGAAAAACATAAAGAAACATAAAGCACTAAAAACACAAAAGGTACACTAAGATACACTAAAATACACGTAACTAAATAAACACCGAACACACATAGATAAACACGATGCAGACAATTAAATAATGTGGACACATAAAAACGAAACACTTGATGATGTTATGAGACGCATAATAGCACGTAATTATTTAAACAGCGCGTGTGATACTGAGAGGACACTCAATAAGGCACGCATATATACGTGAAGCAATGTGATGACAGTAGTTCATGAAGCCATGATAATAATAGTACGCACAAGAAAACGCGTAGATATACAAGATGCAAAGTAAGGACTAAGGTACATGATACAATGATATACAGGATGCAATATAATGGTAATAGTACATGATGCAATAAAGTTAGTAATTCACATAACAGGTAATAGTACACCACATGTGAGCATACAAAGATACGTGTTACAGCATAGTGACAAGAGTACTTGACGTAATGGTGCTAATAGTTCACACTGTACGATGCAGTACACACATATATGCAGAACGTATACTCGATGACAAATAGTACACATATAAACGATGCAGACGATTAAATGATGCAGACACATGAAGAAAATAAACATTAATATGGTGCACATAAAAATTATGAGACTCATAGTAGCATACAGTTGATGATATAAGGCACGCGTGACTTGATAGTAACACACAATTGTCCATTCATATATACGTGATGTAATGTGATGATGGTGATACATGATGCGAAGATACTAACAGTACACTGAGCGGTTAATAGTGCACACGATAAGACATGCAAATATACATGTTGTGATGTACTTATTGACCACATGATGCTAAAACCACAATAGTGCACAAACAAAACTTGCGTGTAGACAAAATGCAGACAATTAAATGATGCAGATAAACATTAGTATGGTACACTTAATGATATTAACGATCAATAATAGCACATGGCTGATGATTGATAGCTGAAGATATGTCACCCGTGGTACAAGGTACACACAAAGACGTATAATAGCATATGGTTGATGATAGATGGCTGAAGATATGACATCCGTGACGCTGATTGTACACACAGTAAAGCATAGATACACATGATGCAATTGGCTGAGTAAAGTACATGATGAATTGCTGAAAAAAAGTACATGAAGAATTGCTGAAAAAAAAGTACATGAAGAATTGTTGAGAACAGAACACTTGACAAGACATGCAAGAACACATGTTGCTGACAAATGCATGCTGCAGACTCAGAGAGGGGCTTCATATTAAGTAGGCTGACAAAGGTCTTGCCCTAATGCCGTTATTGCCTTCAGAATGCGGCAGATTTTATTTGTCGTAGTCTTATTTTTGATAGTGAAGCGGTAGAATGCCTCTTCATTGCTGGATGGTGTAGGCAGGTGGTACTGCGACGTAAGTGGGCATTGGTAGATATAATGGTCGGGTGTGCCTTCGTTGCCACACACACATACATTTGTAGTTGAGATTCCGTGCCTACAGAAGTAAGTAGGGAAAGGGCCGTGTCCGGAGATGTAGTGTGACAATGGCGCAATTCCTATAGTGCGGTCAGTGGACACTTTTGGGAAGAACATATAAGTTCTCCTGCCTGTGTCACTTTGGTCCCACTCTGATTGCCATATGCGGGCAGCTTCATCCTTGAGTAGACGTTTGAGGTAAGAGGGAGGCGATGGAACGTACAGCTCTTGCGCTGCAATGTTGTTAGCTGCCTCCTTCGCAAGCTGGTCTGCTGCCTCGTTACCAAGGATGCCTGCGTGGGCTTTGACCCATTTTATGGAGATCCCGCGGGAGCTGTTGAGCCTTAGCATCTGTTGCAAATTCATAATAATTTGCGACGTGTGCATATGGTTCTGGATGGCGTACAATGTAGATGCGCTATCCGAGAAGATGGTTGCATTATTAATACCGGTGTCTTCTATTATATGCTGAACTGCTGCTGTGAGAGCGAGCGCTTCTGCCTGGAAGACGCTGTTGGAGTCAGCTAGGTGGCCCTTCCATTCATGAGTCGTAATGTGATTCTCAAATTGCACAAAAGCGCATCCGACTCCATTTTCGAACTTGGAGCCATCAGTGAAAATATAGGCTTTGTTGTCATTAGCCATGTTTGCTGGAGGCTCTGTAGAAATAGTCACTCGAACTCCCTTGCCTTTAAGGGCTGGGTGTGTTTGAAGGACATCTCCAGGGTGTTCAAAAGTGATCGGACAGAGAGTCCTGCCATTCAAGGTGGCGTCCAGTCGTAAGTGAATTAGCCTAGTGTAGGCGGCTTCTGCCTGTGCCTTGATATGTAGGGGTAGAAGGCCTGCCAGGATCAATACAGAACTCGTTGCTGTAGTCCAGTATGCTCTACAGATGTTGAGCGCGAATTGTATGGCAGTATTGTCGTTGTATGGCAGAAAGTTGCCTGATTTTTCTTGCCCCCATAGGGTGGGCCCAGATGGCAGCAGCGTAAAGGGCAACTCTCTCAGCAACCGTTGTATAGAGTATCTTCAAAATATGAGCATTCTGGCCCCAATTATGACCTTGAAATTGCCTGGTCTGTGTGGCTATAGCCGTTGTGCGGCGCCGGATTTCTTGAAGGTGCGGTATCCACGTTAACCCCGGGTCCCAGGTGAGACCGAGGTACTTGAGGCTGCGCACGATCTTGATATTTCTTCCACCTAATTTAATACAGGGGCGTCTGGTGGGGTTAACTCCAGGTCTGGGAATTATGAGGGCTGATGTCTTATCGTAGGACACATTTAGTCTGAACTTCTGGCAAAGGTCGGTGAAGATTTTGCAGACTTCCGTACCATGCCTTTCCAGTGCGTTACGGGTCCGGCCTTGAACAATGAGAGCTGCGTCTTCAGCATAAGCCACTATAGTAGTATGCAGCGGCCAGGTGGTGTTTAAAACTGCATTAAATGTTAGGTTCCATTACAATGGCCCAGCACAAGAGCCCTGAGGGCAGCCTCTAACTTGCGACTTTGTAGCGGAACACATTCAAGGATGGTGTGCAGTGCATGCGTTGTAGAGTAGCCTGCGCGAAATCCAAACTGACGGTGACTCGGGTAGTGGTTGCGATGTAATTGGTGGCTCAGGCGGTTGATCAAAAGCTTCTCATAAATGTTTCCTAAGGATGACAATAGGCAGATTGGCCGGTAAGATCTGGGGTTGGTCGGGTCCTTATTCTTTTTAAGGAACAGGACAACTTGTCCCTTTTTGAAGATTGCGGGGAAGATTTCCGTCTGCAAAAGCTTGTTGAAAAGAAGGGTGAAAAAACCGGGTCGAGCTTTGTAAGCCACTTTAATGAGTGCGTAATCAAGGCCGTCTGGTCCGGGGGCCTTTTTGACAGGCAGGTGTTTAAAGATTTGCTTAACTTCTCTGTTGTTAAAAAGGTAGTTATCAGGGGTGTCTGGGACGCCCCTGATGACTACCTTGTGGAGAGTCATCATCCACACACATCCTGGTGTGGAGAGTCATCATCCACAACTCTTTTAGTTCGGGCGCCACTGTAGAGACATCAGGTATTTTTTTAGAAGCATGAAATTTAAAAACTTAGCAGTCGCCTTCTCCGGGAATCGTACGACGGACCTCTGGAATACCTGCCCAGCTTGCAGAACCACTACACAACGAAGGCACACTGGGAAAGCGGGAGAGATACCTTATAACTTTTCAAAATAGTAGGTTAAATAAGAGACTGTTTTCAAGCAAAAGCAAAGGCAGTTTTCTAGAAGGTCAGAATTCACAATACTCCATAGCTTCGCTTCGAAAATGCAACAAAAAGACTACTGAAAACCTGTCTTGTAAGCAATATTGTCAACTGCGTTAACATTTAGAAATATAAACTGTCAGGGGACTTTACTTGTTGACATTAAAAAGAACTAAGAATATTTTGAGTTTATGTTTAATTTATTTACTGTCTCCGCTTTTTGCTGTCAAATATTTTGATTTATCCTACGAAACACCCTTCTAAATTCCTTATTTTTTCCCTCCATCTAGTGCGCTAAGTTCCCGTATGAATGCTTTTCGCTTCTATCAAGAAGGTTGTATTTATACATATTTGCTCTTTGATTACAAGAAAACAAGGAAGCTTTTTTTTCAAGGTTATAGATTCGGTTTGGGAAAAACATGTCAATCACATTTATTCTTTTTAAGCTGTATCATCTCTAAATATTTTCCCTCCCTGGGCTAATATTTCTTGATTCAGTGTAACCTGTCATGAAATTGAGCCTTAAGGCTGAAATTTACAGCATTCAAAATTTTCGTACACGAGAATCCCATTAGCCTTCACTTAATTAAGATAAAATAAAAATTAATTTAGAAGTCAAACAGCAAAAATCAGCGTTATTTTTGCAACTATATTTGTAACTTCCATTGGTGAATTAGATTTCACATTCAAAAAAATATTTCTTTCCTAGTTAACGACCCTAATACCAATCCATCTTTGCCTTCAGCCTTTAAGGAAATTATGTTTTAGTTTTTATTTTATCAATAGATGGCGCCAGTAGCTTAACTCCTGTTCAGCCATTCATATCTTATCTAATCACTATATCTTATCACGTTCATCTGGGCTTTGGCAGCTGAGGCTGATGGTTCGGTAAAACCATGGAAACTAGTCCTGTGAAAATTTGCAAATGTAACGATGATTTTTGTTGTTCGACTTCTAAATTAAGCTTTCACTTACTTTGTGCTGCTCGTAAAGCAAAGTGCTATAAGCGGACTTTCTAGCCACAAAATCGAAAAGGATTCAATAATAAAGAAAATTTTCGAATTGTCAGGTATTTATAAAAACATACATTTTAACCCCATAGAATTTACCTGAGTGTTTTATTCTTTTATAAGTACCTCTATTAAAACACTCTTGCTGATATTAATTGATGTATTTTAATGATGTCTCAATAGAAAAATAAAAAGGAATATTATTTCATAATTAAAATCTATATTTTGCACATTTCCAAAATAAAAATATAAATTTAACTAACCATACCTGTCGCTTTAATATTTTTAATTAATATTTTTCAGAATTTGAACTTATTCTGTAAGGTATAGCAACTAGGTATTTAAGCAGTCAAATTCTATTTCAAATTATATTTCCTAAAATGAATTTTAATATACTATTATGAATTTTTTCCATATATGTAAAATATCTAATACGTAAAATATAAAATCTACCTTTCAAATAATACATTAATAACTCTTTAACTCCTGTCTTCATTCTAAAAATAACAGAGCAGTTAATTTTCTAAACGGAAAAGATCCGTCATTTAATCTGCATTGCGCACTAATCGATGAAGTCCGAACACAACACCTCTACATTAAGCTGCCATGTGCTCTGAAATGGAATTCGGTATAAAAAGGTCACTTGCGTCGCAACTCTTTTTCTTCTGTCTTCCCTTCTGCTTCCAGACGCTTGTGTCGCAAAGTTTACTTTTCTGATTTTAGTCAAGAAGTCCCGATAATGTGCATTACTCAGAAATAAAATTATTTGTGGAATTTAGGCCATGTCTGCAAGGTTTCTTGGTTTATGCACCCATCGTTCTAAGTACGCAATCAAGTTGTCTTCACGTTATGATGCAGAGAACCACCGCCAATCCGCTGCAACTTACTTCTACCAAGTCATCTTATTACAATAATAATGCAGACTTATAATAACGCAGTGTTTTTTACGTATATATAATAAAACACAATTAATAACACAAATAAACACAAATAATTATTACATATATATAATAAAACTTTAGAGACATTAGGTTATTTTGAAGCAGGAGAGATGAAGAATGAGCAATGCCCTCGCCGGGACCCTAACCACGGATCTCTGGAATAAGCGCGGAGCGTTCTGACCACTAACACCACGAAGGTATGCTTAAGAAGGCGGGAGAAATACCTTATAATCTTTGGGTTCTGCGCATGACAGCATCCATGTTGGTTGGTGGTTTCTTGTGCTCCGATTAAAAAGTCTGTATTTTGGTAATTATTGTGATTTTCTTTGTGTAAGTGCATTATTATGGATGTATGGAGGTTCCGATGTATACTTGGACTTGGAATACAAGCAGTATTTTTGAAGAAAAAGTGATTCTTAAAGTTGATGCATACGGAATTACTCATTAGCATATCCTAAGTAAGTTTTCTGCTTTTATCTATTTACATCGACTATGCATATTGGATTTGACTATTAAATAGGATTGCTTATTTATTTTCTATCTCCATATAAAATTTTAGCGATGTACTAGCTGTATTTTTAGAGATATTTGAAATTTACTTTTCGAATAGACGATAGGGTTAACGTGGCGGAAAATAGTTTACAATTGAAACTATAGTGTTTTGCACCTTATGTTTTAGATTTTCAGCCCTACTGTCAAAATTCTAAATTTTTTTTTTTTTTAAATCATCTGCCAGGAAGGAGTAATTGATATTTTGGTGCACTTAATTCACAAGTCTTTCTGACCGCCTATCGATTTATTTGTTTATGCGTAGAACTTTTGTATTTGAATGATTTTAACTGTTTTATGTGAGAAAGTGCTGATTTTAAGTGTTTTTAAGAATTTTTAACGACTTCACGTCTGTTTTATATTATTTAAAGACCATTTTGAACTTTTGTAGTATTTTTGAATGTAAGAAAATTTGGATTTGGGAAAGTAGATTTTTATAGAAATTATATTATTTTTACAATGAAGATAAGAAAAAATTTAGTTGAAATAATCATTAAGGTGAGTACTTACAGATTTTATTTTTGTCTATAAGAAGACTTATTTATTATTTGTGTATTTTTAGTGTGAATTCTGCAACCATATTTGGTATCAGAATTATAAATTTTGAACTTTTTGGTGTTTTTAGTTAGGCTTTGCAACCTACGTGTGTATTTTTGAACACTGTGAACGTTTATATGTTTTGAATTTGAAGATTTTTACTGTGAGTTTATCTGATGGATTGAAATTTTAATGGTATTTTTCCGTTTCGCTGGCGCAAATCTCGCCAAGCAGACTTTATTTGCGACAACATACAGTATACATATAAAAATTTTTAACAAATGTTAGTTCTGAGAATATTTTATTTTGAATTAATAAACATTTTAATATTTTGTAAAAAGACAATAAATTTGTAAAAAGACATTAATAAAGAATTGACTATGCTTTCATGGTATGATTCGCCGTTTCATATCACGTGATCCCAAATCTCATTTCACTTAAACTACGCTACTAAAATCTAATTGTCTCAGTAATTATCTACAATAATTTGAAATTAAATCTTAATTTGGAATACAAGTTTAAATGCAAGAATTATTTCAATTCGTACAAATAGCTTACTCGGAAATTATGTAAAACCGCAGTGCTTTACTTCACTAGTGCATTCTCATTAGAATTGATGAATTTAACCCTTGACTTTGTCTTTCCTATATTTTAGCCTGAGCGGTGTGAATGCTTCCTAATTGACTTAATTACCGCGAATAGCCTTAATCATAAAAGCGAACTATCTGGTAAAAATTCTATGTAATTGTATGCCAGTATTGAGAGAAACAATCAATCTAATGAGAAATGGCTGCGACTTGTTTTGAAAATGAGGCGTAAAAAGTAAAGGATATTTCGTTTGGCATCGGTTGTACCATTTTTCTAGCTGCTTTCCGCTTGCGCCAGCAAAGTGGAAAAGTATACCAAATATTGTACCTAAAACTTTTGTGCTTTAAATGTCCTCTTTGATAACCCTTTGTTTCACTATCTTTGTGCACCGTAATTTCTAAGACAAAGGCTTTGTAGCATCGGAAGAAGAAATTAGCTTTAATTTTTTAATTTTTACTTGCCGTTATATCAAAAACCAGCAACAATCGTAAATCATTTCGAAATGCTTTCTTTAGAGGCTTTGAACCATTTTTAAGACTTTTCTCCTCTTTGATCATAATAAACGGATATTTCTTCATTTTGTCATTTAAATGCATCCAAGATTCAACTGTCGCGGCAATAATTTTCCAGTTTTGCCTGAACAAATGTTTCTCATGAAGAATTCTGAAGCGCGTTTTGCGTTCCGCGATATGTCGTGGAGGAGGTCAATGCACTTTATGTTTTTTCGCACTTTTCATATTCAAATAGACATGAATTACTTTGTTCCTTGTTCCCACTTGATATGCAGCATTTTAACGGTTTTGAAATTCTCATTTAACTTGGCGGATTTTCTTTTTAACATTAAGGATCTCACCTTTGCAATATTCGAAACACTCTGTTTTTTTTTCCCTTGGATAAGTGTTTGGAACAATTTTTTCCATCGAAGCAAACTTTGACGTCTTTTTCCTTTCTTATAAATAGTATTACCTATCGAAATTCCATGGCTTTATGGCTGTATTTTAATAACTAGATACGAATAAGTTTCTTCGGAAAGAACACAAACATAGCCTTCCATAAATTGCTTCTTTTTAAAAGCGACATTTTGTATAAAAACAAAATTTTCAAGTACGGTAAATCTTTTGCACAGTTCTAGCAGAATCACTGAAAATGACATAAAAGCTTACCGTTTTCACGGAGGCAATTCGATAAATTGTTACGTGTCTGAAAACGATTCAAGGAACTATTGCATTCAGAAAAATGGTTAATTAAAAAAAAATAAATAATGGACAGAATATAAAACTGAGATTAAGAAGAAATAAATTGATTTTGGTTTTAATTTTCAATATAGTCATCATTTTTTCATTACATAACTAATAACTGAGTCGTGCCTATGGTGTTTGCAATGGATAATGAATGTATTTCGGTAAAAAAATAATATCTGGAACAATGTGAAACTCAATCAAATATCGACGTTACAAAATTTGCATCATAATGCAACATTATATAATATTGCTGAACTGTGGGAAGCTTTCAACAGTTGACAGACGAAAACATGGAAATCGAGTGCTATGTTTCCAAAATATGCCATCCTCGATCTCTACTTCGAAGTCCTATTATTTATGGCAATGTACTAAATGCCACATTCCATCTAGATAACACCAAAGCATACATTATACTGACGTGGATCCTTGTAAGACATTATCACTCCATCATGTCACTTTCTGGATCTCGCCCAAAAATGTGTTTTTGCAGAATCTTTTAGAAATAACGTGTAGAGATAATTTCAGAGGGTATTACGAGCGATCCGTTGTCAATCAGAGGAACTACATTTGGTACAAATTAAATGTGAATAATATTAATACTCATAATTATTATTTGCTTCAAAATCTTCTACGAGATTTATTATAACTGTTACGTAAGGAAAGATATTGTTGCGTGAGTACCGGTTCATAACAGTTCAAATACACACAGAATAGATGATAGCTTGATAAAATTTATTTCCACCAAAAGAATCACGTTACAGTTCTGAAACTTTCCACAAAAGCACTCGTACAGCTCTTCTCAGTAGCACATAGCATACTCAGTAGTTACACTCCGAGCCACTAAAAACGCTAAACACAACACAATGCAAAGCGCATCTAAAAGGCGAAGCTCTCACGTATATCTCAATACTTCGAAGTCGCTCTGAACTAAAAACTGAGAAAATGATGTTTTCTCCCGTCTTACATAGCTTTTCCGAGACCGCCGAGAAATCTGTAGTATGTTCCACCTTCTCGAAATTACTAAAAGGCATATGAGGGCCGGATACAGTTTCATATAGGCATGAATTTTAGTTATTCAGTTACAATAGCAACTGCAATTATACAGGGTCCGCACCAAAATGTCACCAAATAATCGCCAAGGTTTGTGAATTTTGGCGATTTCTCGCCAAATTTGGTGGCAAAAATTAGTCGCCAAACCCATCTTCAACTTCGCGATATCTCTTCAGCTTACCGAGATCATTTACATCAATGTTAAGAATCTGATGTATACACCACATGACTTCCTTGTACGGAATATTAAATTATACGCATATTTTCCTGCATTTCATTTAAACTTATTGAATTGGATTAAATCTACTTCGTCGATAAGGCATAAAACGTAAAAGAATAAATGCGCTTTTTAAAATTCACCATATTTATTTATCATAGCGATACGTGGGCGCTAGGTTCGCTTAAAAGCATTGCATCGCATTCATTTTATAACTCAGAAGGCAAAATATATATATATATATATCATCTGAAGAATTATCTAATCGTTGCCACATGTTCTATTCAAATATAATGATAAGTGTAAACCGATGTATAAACGAAATTAAACTAATAAAAAATAAACAGTTTTCCACAGACGATTCAGCGCTGCTTACCTAATGCGCATGCGCTACTCGTAAACATTTTTCTCTGCCCGAAACAGAATGTCGACAGTATTTTCTGCTGATATGAAACACTTATTTCCTCTAATTTCATTAGAGATGTATTTTTCATTCAATTAATTCTGTTCTCACTTCGTGCCATGGCAAAAATAATTTTAAAAAAATCTTCTTATCTTAAAAATTTAATATCTTAAAATTTAAAGATATAGAAAAAAACATAAAACATTTTTTTAAAAAAAAAATTTTAATAAAATTTTTTTTACAATTAAAATTACAGTTTCTACTCAAGAACAAGGCAATTCGGCCAGAGGCAAGAAGACAGATTTTTCGGTGCACAAAACTGAACGTTTAATTTTGGTCTCACTCAGCAAAAAAACACTGAAGGTGTAGAAATTGATTTAATTTGCTGGGGACGTTCTGCTGAGTGATTCATGATGCCTATTAAAGAACGAGAATAGCCAAAAGTTTGCATTCGCAGAGCTCTTTCATTTTACCTATTATAGAAAGCAAACTAAAGTAAACTAAAGTTGGGTATAGCAGTTAGGTGGTACCTATGGTAGAAACCGAAACTTGTAGTCTAATAAAGTTAGAGTGATGAACTGCTTCTCAACGTCTATTCTTAAACAGAGCTGTCGTTGACCGCAGCCGTTCCATTCTATCTACAATAGAAACGGAAATCGGAATCTAAAGCCGTTTGAAAGGAATGAGGATGACCTTTCGAATGATCTCAGGTAGATCTGTCATTTGGGTAATCCGCTTATTTATTTATAGCTTCAATAGAAAGGAACTTAGAAACTGTTGTAAATACAGAGCAATGGGGGATACCCAAACGACAGACCTTGGGGGATCTGTCCTTTGCTTACGGATATCTGCAACAGAAACGAAAAATGTGGG